CTCTCTCTCTCTCTCCCTCTCTTCTGTTCTCCCTCCTTGTTTCTCTTTTTATCCCTCCCTTCCACCCTCATCATTTCTTTCTCTCTCTCTCTCTCTCTCTCTCTCTCTCTCTCTCTCTCTCTCTCTCTCTCTCTCTCTCTCTCTCACACCGTGTATAATCATGGATGTGTTAGGTCCATGATATAATCAAAGCCCCTGAATTAGTCTTGATCTCATTTTGTATGAGGCTTCTCACCTTCGATGAATGATAGTACATTGACATGGTTCTCAACAAACATCGGTTGTCGTGGCAACCTATTGTTAGTCCCAGTCGAGAGGAATATTCCTTTCATGTCATGGGATGCAATTTGAATCCGTAAAGGAAAAATACATAGAAACAACAAAGGTGTGTTATGTTGGTTATACGAAGAAAAATGATAGATTGATATATTTCATATAATTATTTTACAAATTAAAGAAGGAAGATATTCAATTCGTTTTGAAATTGAAACAAATGTGTAATTTTTTTTTTAATGCCAAGAAATAGAGAAAGATGAGGGAAAGAGATCGTTAGCAAGATGACAAAGGTTATACAGTAAAACCTGTATTATAAACACCATGCACCAAGGAAGACAAAAAGGGTGGCCTTTGTAGGCAGGTGGTCTTTTTGTACAAATTCTTTTACCACATAGTTAATGTCAACTTAAAGCTTATCTGCCGTAGTTTATAGGAGGGATTAGACTGCCCTGCAAGGTCACTGGACAGGTGGTTATCTCATCAACTCAGCTCTTAGTTAACATAAGAAAAAAGAGGATCATGGGGGACCAATGGTCACCGATTAGTCATTGTTTGTTATATAGAGGGCGCAAGTAGCTACAAGTAGTGCAGTGGGCCTTTAAAAATCTCCCCCCCCCCCCTCCTCTCTCTCTCTCTCTCTCTCTCTACCACTTACACCCGTCTCCCCCCAGCGTTCTCCCCCCCCCCCCTCTCGCTCTCCCTCCCTTTCTCTCTCCACTCTCTTTCTCCCTTCCCACTCCCTCTCTCTCTCTATCTCTCTGTCTGTGTGTCCCTTATCCTCTCTCTCTCTCTCTCTCTCTCTCTACCTTCACTTCAATCTGCCCCTCCCACCCCCCCCCCCCCCCCCCCGTTGTCCCTCCGCCGTTGCCGCTTCCTTCCTTCAGCACTATCCCTGGATGATATTGATGGCACCTCTTTGCCACATGGTTATTGATAATATGTGAAATTTATAAATTAAATATAAAAATCAATTTGCTATTGAGTATGTTCTATAATTATTAAAGCGAACGATTCTTCAGCATTAAAACCACCATGGTTCACTATGCATGAATTATGTATTTTTATTACGTACGGAGCGTACCATCAAGACCCTCGTCATTTTCAATTATTATTCTCGATAAAACCATGATCAATTCAATTCAATCGTGTTATGATTTCATCAAGAGCAGTCGCGTGTTTCTACTAGGTCCGCAGTGTTGGTTTCGTTCACGATCACTACAATTAATGTTTACCGAGAAAGCTGTCGCCTCTCAAGTAAGACAATCACCTTGCTTTCGATCTTTAGTGAATATGAAAGTTTATATTGAATAAAAATGTGTTATATTAACAATGGAGGATCCTCGCTATGGACATTTTCAATTACCATCATTACTGTCGTCCTCGTCTCTATATCAAGACTTCCAAACATCGCTTGTTTTTTCGGAAATCTATAATCGTTTTGGAATAACTTATTCGCACACCTCTCCTAGATAAACACAGTGATTGAGTACAAATTTAATATCTTCGTTATAATGAATCTGATTGCAATCATGACCCATGGAAGAGAGGGACTCAGAGGGTCGAGCATCTGGATCATCTCATGTGCAAACTAACGAAGTTGAACACTTTAAGCAGCTACGTATTGATGCCAGATTTTAAATCATTTTGCAGCTCATACTGTCATATAAACCACTCCAGGTGAAGTAAATGGAGACAGACATGGTTGGAATTTATTCCTTAAAACGCGTGACAGCGCGTGACAGCTGCACTGCTAAAGCCAGTGTAATTATGTTGCATTATTAGAGACTTCTGATATAGGCGCTATTATACGCGAATATGATTATTATTAACTCTTCATTTTATTTCACAAGGATTGGTACGTCCACAAAGTATTCCCTGACAGCGTCGTTTTTATACGATTCTAATGACAGCGTCCTGATATGGACATTGCAATGAGATGTTTGTATGTGCCCAATCATGAAAACCTTTGTCTTCGGGCTCCTGACTGGATCGTCAGTCTCGGTGGTTTTCAAGCGATTGACGTCTTCACCAACATCATCAAGGGACAATAATTGAGGACAGATTTGTTGGAGAGCCTTAAAGTAATATTTGGGTACTTTCGAATGAACATGATAAGTACTGATATATTTTGTATGCACTGCTATATACTGGCATAGTTGCATTTTACGAAGTGTGCATGATGATACAAACATGAGATCTCATAATCTCTTCACACTTCAGCCACAATGAACATGAAATATTGGAGAATAAATCTTTGTTTGAAGGAAGCCATCGCCATCGGGCTGAAAGAAGGACTGAGTCGAAGGTTATCTCGAACAATTAATCAATCCAAGACGATCAATGTGAGATGTAGCAAGAAGATTCATTATAACAGGTAGGTTTATAACAACCCTGTCTGTTTGTTTGTTTGTTTGTTTGCTTGCTTCTTTGTTTCATAATTATCATTTTAAGCAAGTAACCATCTTTTGATAATCACAAATTGGAATACATTAAAGAAATTATCGAAGAGGACGTCAGCGCTCTCATTATAGAAAATGAAATAAATTACTTCAAGCACTCCATATAAAGCCTCGGTCACAAATGCCATTACGAACTGCTACGAACGCCATACGAACGATTTTCAGACAATGGAAATTCGGGAAGACAATGGAAAAACAGGGAGATTTGTACGAAATTATCGTTCGTACGAACCTTTGTGACCGTAGCATAAGATTACTTCAAATTTTCAGCCCAACATTAAATGTTCTCTAAAATTCTAAGCATAAGGAACGTGAACATGAATGCGATATGCGATCGCGTGACCTTGAATCCATCTATCTTTATCTTGAAACCGTTATGGTACCAGCGCAAAACTACGATCAGATATCGAATTCAATGGTCAGTCACTCAACCTTGATCTCCAAGGTTTAGAAAGAAGTAAAGCAAGTTCAAGTGGGTTGTTCGTTTACATGCATTTCCAATTGCCACGAAGTAGGCATATGTATCTGCATACATTATATTCTGTATAGGGAAATGTTTAGGAAACTTATCTGGAATACAAGTTTTTCTATATATTTTGTTTATCCTATATACCATCATAAAAAATACGTTTTGTTTTGATTTTTCTTTCTTTCAGGACGTTGTTCTGTTATACTTGTTATTAATATGTAGTATCATCTTGTAATAATGTAATTTCTATGCCGCATGGCTCCCTTGCTTGTCCCCTCGTGTCTATGAACAACCCTTAACCAGGCCTTGTTCTGAAAGTGACTCAGTAACATTGTTGAAGGTTGATGAAAACACTGCGTAATTTTGTTATGAAATGTTACTTATTATATTCCTTCTACCTTTCTAAACCTCTAATCTGAAAAAGACTCTGAAAAATTCTCACAAACTACAAAGATATTGGTTTTCTTTGAAGGCGTCACTGTGCAGCACCCTTTATATTCTCCTAACCATTTTTTGAATTTTCCCAACCGTTTTTCTATGAAAATAAGACATAATACAGGCTTTCCAAAATCTTTAAACTCTTAAATGTCTGGAATGGTATGTATCTACCAATTCATTGCTTTGTGACGATTTACAGTCCCCTACAATGTAATTAAAATATAGTTGGGAGCATTAAGAAACCGATCAGATCAGTTTTTCCCAATTTGTATCAATAATAATGGTCTGTTTTCACTCAAACTTTCAGATTATCTTTAATTTTACATCTAGCATTGAACCATTTTCTCTCAATCTGGACAATGCAATTAAGTCCCTTTAAAGACAAAAGTATCTATGTTCTACAGTGGTAATTCGGCTGAATGAAGTGAGAATCTTGATTCTTTCTTAAAATCGAAGTTGGAGAGCCACGCAAAGGCGTCATCCTTGTAAATTGCGCAATTAGATCAATACAATATTTATATAAATTTTAGATTGAGATTTACATACGAAAGGACACAAATTGGACCCCATCCGTGCCTCCAATGCGGTGACGCTCACTTAATAAAATGATGACACGCAGAAAGGCCTGTTGCCACTATCATCTGTTCAGTGTCAGAGGGGCCTTCATCTTATTTTTTGTGCATGACAATAAAGAAATTCAAAATTAGCTCATAATATAGATACACAGAGTTAACGGCCTTCTGGCTCGTCATAGACAATGTCTCAAGATATTAATGATCTATGTCTGTGGTGAGATATATTCGAATTCTTCTGTATCAAAACAAACAAAAAACTGAGACAGTCCACACAGAAGCCATGTGCAGCTGCCCCAAATCGATTATGTTACGTCAAAATCAAAACTGAAAGTTTGCCATGACAGTAAATAGGTCAAATGTTGGTTCTATTGAATACCTATCGGTTATCTAATTTGTTCATTTAGCTTTCCACCTCGATCATTTTTTCTGCGATCACCGAGGTCAACATGTCCACAGATAGTTCGCTACAATCATTATCATTCCGTGATTAGTCAAAGTATTTATAGCAGGATTACATACACGATCTAATGACGCATAAGAATATTTTATTGTTGCCGCCATCACAAAATCAGCGCGCTTAATTGGAGCAAAATGGCGCGTGTTGGCTGTAGAAGATTTTAATTAATCTCGATCGTGATACCAATGTTATATTGTGCCGCCTCAATAAACTACTGAAAGATTAATAATGATACACTTATACATAAACGGTGTTAGAATACACGACACATCAGATTTTCTTTCAGACTGACCTGTTTATTTTCCTTTTCTCTCATTCATAGGATTAATTCAGAGAGCAGTGAAGACTCCCGGAAAGCTTACCGCATCATCACGACGTTTGGAAAGGAAATAGTTGCATAATCAATATGATCGGTCACTCTATACAACATGCACAATAACCAAAGACATACTATAGCCTTGCGTTTATTGTAATAACGATCAGAAAGCGGAAATTAGATGTCGGCTAAAAGGCAATTTATTAAAAATCTTGTGAAGTTGACCATCTTCAGATTCAGTGTTAGAGCATGCAATTTGTGTCATTCCGTTGATCAGTTGGAGGTATTGACCGACCTAGTACCGAGTACGAGATATCTGGACAAGTCGGGCTGCTGAGAACGTTGAAGAACAGTATTCACCCCTGACAGTGTTCAGTGATCTCGTTTGGTTTGATACTGTGCATGATACGTGAACGGTCCTGCAGATAGTGTGGGGTCATTGTGCATTCTGGGGAAAGGCAAATATGAAAGGGTTTATGTTTTCAGCAAAATTGTTGGCCCTTTTTGTGTATATGCGCGAGTTGAACTCAAGACTTTGAGTATATGCCTAAGATCACATACATGATTCGATATCGTTATAGCTGCTGACGAGATTTTTTTTTAATTGTTCCAGGACCTTTCATTTTACAGGACACTACACTTTCTGAACGATACACTTAAGAAGTAATCAAGGTCTAAAGATAAGACAGCAGTAAAGTTGTAACCATGGTGATAGAGGATGTCAATGTTGGATTTTAAATAAGCAGGTTGTAGCGTGTTAATACAATTCATGACAATGGAAAGTGTGAATGATAATGAGCTTGTTACGGACATGTCACTTGGGCTCAATCAGAACATGAGCACCGCTGACATGACGATGTCCTCGTCACATCTCGTCATCTTACTCGGTGCGTTCGTACCGCTATCGCTCTGCATCGTAATCGGTAACTTCTTCGTCATGGCAACAGTGTATCGTGAGGATCGCTTGCACACGCCCACAAATTTCATCTTAACGAGTCTTGCATTTGCGGACTTTGTAACAGGAGCTTTGACGATTCCTTGCGAGTTGTACACTGACGCAGAAACCAATACGATGAACTGTTACAAGATGACGTACATGCTAGCGCCCTCTTATTTCATGAGTGGTGTGTCACTGATGCATCAGATAATTGTAACTCTGGATCGTTTGCTGGCTGTGAACTGGCCTCTCAGGTACTGTCAGTTTGTGACCAAACAACGCGTTGCTATGACGATAGGATCTGTTTGGATTGGTGGCACGTTTCCCGCCACTGCTTTTCTCTACGTGTGGATCACAAGCATGGCAGACGATCACGCGGTAGGACAGTGTGGGGGTGGGGCTTATTTCAGCACCCCACCCATCAGAAAATTCGAGTTAGCCATGGCCTCGCTTGTCTTCATAGGTCTGCTCCTGTTAACATGCTTCAATCTGTACATTTGGAGGGTAGCTACTCGGCAAGCGAGTCAAATCAGGGACCAGTTCCGTGCGATGAATGCGGACCAGAAACAGCGGAGACTTGGAAACTTGCAAGCGACAAAAACTGTTCTAGGAATCGTCGGAACATTCGTCGTGTCTTGGACTCCCGTCACGATCTATTTCATCATTTCACATCATATAAATAGTATGGAACTGACGTATGAACAGCTCTTCATAATTAATCAACTCTGTTTCTTCTTCATTTGTGTGAATTCTGCAATTAATCCAATCATATATGGATGGAAGAATAAGGAGTTTCGCAGAGGCTTGTTGAAGCTGTTTAAAGCATGGAGACTACCATGTATGCGTATGATGCAAAAGGAGCAGCCAAATAGGGCAGAATCTATGCGGGTAACATCTGTCGTTGTTTAAATGAAAATGAAAGGAACTGAATGTGGGTTAAACATTCATTTTAGTGATGACATGATAGTTTAAATTTGATTCTATAGAGAAATCGGTGATCTGAATAAATTTGAAGCTTCATTCAACGCATTTTTGAAGAACGGAACAATACAGAAACAAACATTTACTTTTCATAAGAATGAGCGTGCATGGTTCAATAATGATGATTTGATAATCCAGTTTTTAGTCGAATTATTTTTGTTCATGTTGTAAGACACTCCAATCGTATCATTTCACTTACCATACTCTGAAATATATATCATTATAATAGAATATAACAGTACAATAGCATATCATTATCAATGTGAAGTACTATGGCTAAGTAGTTCATTCATTTAGCTTTTAATCGGATGAAGGTTGAAGGGTAAAGGTTATAATCTCTTATAATCTTATAATGGGGAAAAGATGGGTCGTGTTTTAGCCTTTTTCTTGTAAATACATTGCAGTAAGAAAACAGTCGCCGGAAATATATTGCGGAGTAATCAGATAAATGTATAGAGCAAAAAATGTGATCATTAAGTCAACCTACTATTATCAACATCATTTGCGTATGATATCGGCACCTAAATGTTGATGTCCAAATATTCATTCACTATTAATAATAATGAAAGTAAATATACGTTCTTCAGTTTTTTAAATCATCTTGGATTCTGGTAATAAACTGCCTTTCGAAAGAAATCTTCTTTCATTATAATTTGAATTAGTGTCATGCAGTCAGTATGTAGAGCATTGATGTACTATTTTTTTAAACACTGTATTATTTTTATGTTAAGTCCGAATATGTTATAACAATTCAATAATGTTTCGTACAACCTGAACGTGTTGATCACATTCATATGTAAGTGAATAGGCCTTTTATTCTACTAATGTTTTTCTATTATAGGCAAGCTCAATCAAATTGTTTGGTAAAAATTTGGAAAAATTATTAGAATTATACTTGCTTTTACGAAAATTGAACTCCGTCCCTTAGGTTGGATATTTTATAGAGATGTTTTCGATATGCTTTTAACATCGCAATAGGGTCCAATAATTTATAATGGACAAGCTTATGAACTGTGGAACTGTACATGTTTCATGGCTAAATACCCGTAGACTGGGTAGAGCCATTTCGAAAAGTGCTTCCCTTTCTGATATTGATCAGGTTGGGTTACATATCAAATTAGAGAATGAAATAATAGACAGAAGTTGTAAAACATAGCAGCTATTGTTGAACCATTTCATGTGAATAATATAAAGTTTCTTTGTCATTGTCCTGAAAAGCATGTGTGTAGATAGGCTCTTTTAAGTAAAAAAAAGGGGTCATCATCGAAAGAAAAAAAAATAATCAAAATGATTTGTTGAAAAAGCATACAAACATAAAAGGATTATCATACTAAGGAAAAGAAAGGAAAGATGACTTCACTTTTTCAGATTCCAGATATGTTGATACTTCAACAGAATCACCCCCACCCCCTTGCCCTTCCTCCATCTCATCGACTTCACGGAACTGTCGGTGTGTTTTGAAAGAGCGCCATCACCAATCTCTCACAATGATAGACTTTCCCCCCGCTTTTATTCCCTTTGTACAATAATGTTGTTGTTGCTGCTTTGAAACTCAACCCATGATGACGCCATTAAAAAGATAAACTCCAGTTCTGGTAAAAAAAAATAAAAAATTATTAATTCTCACAGAATCAAACGAAACTTACACTGAATGTTCAAGATTACAAATAAATGACATGTGCCAAACAATTTTGGAAGAAAATGTATACTGGCTGATGAATGAGCATAGAAAGACAAGGAAATCCAGGTAGTACTAGCCCCGACACCATGTGTGTTGTCCCATATATAGCTTTCTGTGTACAGTGCTTGTTACTTTACCAAGACTAGGTCAAATTTATTATGATTTTGACTCCAGAACCTTGCAGTGCACACCAATACTTACATGCTACATGATCAACTGTTTCTGATCCTTTCCACACCTTTTCTTTCACAATGCAATCGCATTACCAGTACTACAGTTTATCTTTAAGGGGCATAAATTACTCAATAAAATAATGGAAAGAAATACTGATAACCAGTATAACATCATTCTTGCACTTATTTGATAGTTGTTGTTGTTTTTTACAATACCAGAGAGGTTCGAAATTTCGTGTACTTTTTGTTAACGCTGTACGCTGTTTTTGATATACAAATGGTCACTGGCGTTATGTTTTTAGAGCCGTGAATTATTCAGATTAAAGATTTAAATTTTATATTACATAAATAATTTATATAATAATTGTTAATGATTGTTTGTTCATAATTCAGGCCTAATTTTCTTCTCCTAACTCGGTTTAATGGTAATGACTTAAAATATAAGGTGCATTACTGGGAGATGGGGAATTCAGCTCATCTGATTCACGACAAGGGCCCTTTTCTGGTATAGTCAAATACTGTTTTCCAATTATATCACCATGCTTGAACGTCATATACTATTGAAAATATTCCATGAAATCAGAATAATTGTCCTAATAATTTCATTCCACAGAGAGCCGAGTTATATATATTATTCATAATTATGTATTTACCCCCCCCCCCTACAGACACACACACACACACACGCACACACACAAACCCAACAATTCGCTCGCATAATTCAAACCCTGGTAATATTTTGGGGTTGTTTTTTTTTTTTCTCTCTCTCAATGAATGCTCCATCTGAAAGAGCGCCATCACCAGGTGATGTGACAGGCTTACAACGATTTATTACGTCATAATTGTTATTTTGGTTAACCTATTTAATTTCCATAACAGGTATTCCTTTTAATTTAAACATTTAGTATCTTATATGCATTCTCCAATCTTCATACATATTACGAAACTTATTTTAAAGAACTGAAACATTGGTTGATGTGCATGGGGGATTTAAAACCCAACTCAAAATTATTTGATGATTATATTGTTTGGATTCTGTTTGGCGATGTGACGGAGGAGAGTTGGACTTAAAGCCTCGGTCACAAATGCCTTTACGAACTGCTACGAACGCCGTACGAACGATTTTCAGACAATGCAAATTCAGAAAGACAAGGGAAAAACAGGGAAATTCGTACGAAATTATCGTAGGTACGAACCTTTGTGACAGTAGCATTAACTTGGTCCATTTTTATGAATAAAAATAGCCAGAAGGGCATCAATGTTAAGCCCTTCTGGCTCCGAACAGACGATATTAGTCATCGGTTTTTAATGTTTTTTCTTCTATGTTATCGATAATTTTCAGATGTGTCCGAATTCGCTCCCGCTTCAATCGCAAATTAGGAGTTATGATGTTCCCTCGTTTCCCTGACCGTGGTCAGCCCTGACCGGTGGATAGAATCCATGCCATGCTAATAACTTGACTTGATTAACATCCTTCTCACAATTGCTTGTTACTCACTATTGTCAAGGGAGATTAATCACTATAATAATGTTTACTTTAAATCCCCTTTCAATTGTCACGTGTGATGAGTGTACTTCTTTCTAGGTCAATTCTGATAATGAATCTTTATTCCGCTGCAATCTCCCCCTAATTCTCTCCCTCTCTCTAGCCTCTCTCTCTCTCTCTCTCTCTCTCCCTCCCTCCCTCTTTCCCTTTTTCTCTCTCTCTCTCTCTCTCTCCATCCCTCCCTCTTTCCCTTTCTCTCTCTCTCTCTCTCTCTCTCCTCTTTCTCTGTCTCTTTCTCTCTCCTTTTCTCTCTCTCCCCCTCGAATCTTTTCTTACCTTTCACCCTCTCTCTTTCTCTCTCTCTCACTCTCTCTCCCTCATTCTCTTCCTCTCTCTTTATCTTTCCACAAATATAAGATAGGCCTATACTAAAGGGAGAGGCCTATATACCCTCTCCATTTATATGTTTCCATATGATCTTTTGAAGTGGAAAAGCATCTTTCTATCTAACTTTCTATCTAACATCCCCAATACCAGCTGTAATATAGCTCCCCCCCCCCCCCCCCTTCTGTTATGATGTTAGTCTTTTAACCAGCAGAATTACAATAAACCCAGCGTACTCAAGAAATCCAACAAACCAAAAACACTACATGAGTACATGCTATTCAGTGGCGTATCCAGGACATGGCTTCGGAGGGAGGGAGGGAGGGGGCATAATATCAGCTTATTGTGATCCAGTAAAGGAAACTTTTAAAGGCCCTACTTTCTGTTTCGTGCGATTCTATTGGCAGGTAACCAGCTTACTTGTACTAAGTATAATTATAATAGGAATTTGTTTGCTTTTTCCCGGAAATCTTTGTGGAGGGGCCAATAAGAGGGAAAATTCTCCCCCTCCCCGTTGCCCCTTCTTCACCTACGTAAGTAATGCTGACCACTCGTCAAGCTGATGGAAGCTGACCACTAGTCAATCTCAATCACTTGAGAAACTCCTTCCAACCCCCGCCTTCCTTTCGCCTCGTATGAAAACGTGTGCTCCTATGATAATTTAATTTGTACGTCACATCCTCTTCTATGACAATGATGTGTAATCATCACCGATTGGCCGTCATCACAAACACTATTAATCAAGTAGCCATAACAAATACTTGATTGTAGAAGGCCACTAATCCATTGATGACGTCATACACTACAAGGTGTGAGGCCTACTTCTAAGAAGATAAGAAGAGTTTTGACGACGATGGTCAAATGTTAACGTGATGATGCCAATGTTTATTTAGCAACAGGATGTTTCATTAAGCGATTTTCTTATGACGCTAAAAACAAACGACAGTATTGAAATAGACAATCAAACATGCTAACATAATTTTAACAGTGATAACTGCCTTTAAAGTTAGAATACACTTCTTTTCATTTAAAACCTTCAAACAATAGGATTTATCATCGATAGATAAAGCGTATTTCTTCTCAGAGCTATACTGATCATGAAAAGATTGATCAGTAAAGATTGATCAGTAAAGATTGATCAGTAAAGATTGATCAGTAAAGATTGATCAGTAAAGATTGATCAGTAAAGATTGATTAGTAAAGATTGATCAGTAAAGATTGATCAGTAAAGATTGATCAGTAAAGATTGATCAGTAAAGATTGATCAGTAAAGATTGATCAGTAAAGATTGATCAGTAAAGATTGATCAGTAAAGATTGATCAGTAAAGATTGATCAGTAAAGATTGATTAATATAGTACTGAGAAGATATAAACCTTATCTATCTATTGTCACAACCATTTCATGAAAGAGGTAAGAAAGATATTCCAACTTTAGGGACAATAGTTTAGTTTGACTACAAATGAATAGTATACTCACATAGTGCATCGAAATTACAATAAGATAAAATATGATTATATTAATTAAAGAAAAGGTAGCGCAGTAGATGTTGGATAGTTTCTGCGCTCTAGAAATGTATTATTATTATTATTATTATTATTATTATTATTATTATTATTATTATTATTAACAGCCGGGACGAAGAATAATCCAATTAGAATGTTAAAACTGTAGATTCATAATAGAACATAAACGAGAAAAGTACAACATATTAAGACATCCTTTTAACAATAAACATTAGACAATATATGCGAATAAACATGCATATTTAAAGCGATATTTAATATCGATTCCTTGGTAACTAATTTTAAGCATGTTAGATCTCATGCTTTCCTTATTTTTTGTATTCATAAAGTTTATCCTCCAAAATATAGAACAAGGTCTTAAAGATTTTCAAGAAATCAACTCAAAGGCCCGGCAAAATTCATTGGCCAATAACCTAGAAATCACGCTAGGATTACATAATAATTATTGCAACTTTCTCCCATTTGAACAGCCGATTAACAAGGACGAATTCAAATGACCTTAGTTTCATATGTTTTCTGAAGTACTCGCAATCGTGTTTATAGAAATATACAATGAGGTGAGAGACCACCTTTCACATATTGGTGATCATGTCATAGACTATTATCTGTAGGCCGAAGCCAGCTAATACTATATTAATAGAAACATGTTAATGAGGCATGCCAGACGGCGAACAAATTGACAAGATAAGTTCCTTTTAACGCGAGTGATTATCGTTAATGATGACCGGAGTGACGATAATTGAAATGTCCTAAAAATATTCCCGCCAAAAGTCTCACTGCAAGTTTCGTTATCATTATCACCGTCTGCGGGGAAAGGTACGTGACAACATCACTTTGTTGACATGTTGAAAGAACCTAACACGTTTCTGATGTTTGTTTGTTTGTTTGTTTATGTATATCTTTCTTCCATTCATCCATTCATTCATACGTTCTTTCTTTGTTTCTTGGTTGTTGTTTTTTGTTTAAATTTGTCGTGTCAGAAATATCATCAGTTTTGAAACGTTTTTTGCTTCTGATCGAAGACGTCACATTTAAGATATATAATTTCATTAACATGATGCTGTTCAGGGATGGTTCTCCGTCTTATTCGTGGAGGTAGCACAGGGGTTAGTACAGAATTACGGCTATTTATGCATCTCCGCACGAATAATTTTTTGAGGGAAGAAATTCATCAGCTTTGGCATACACGCTTTTACTCCAAAAATATAGAGGTTTTGATCGCACTCGTCGCACCCATCGCACCTATCCACCCCCCCCCCCCCTACACACACATACACGCACACGCACACCATCACACACACACACACACACACACACACACACACACACACGCACA